ACTGAGGTCATAATCTTTACTATCAGAATCACTAATTGATAACCATATTCAGGCCTTATGGATGAAGGTCATTGTACATTCTGCACTACGGGGAGCTAATAAGCTTACGGAGAGTGTGGGCCAGAATCCATCTCCATTAAATTTAAGGTGCCTGGACCCACAATGTGACCTCCATTCGTTATGATTTATGGCACAAACAGAGTAAATGAATATCATAACCAGCAAATCGCCCGTCAGCTTCGAGTCTGTTGGCAAACTCAGAATGCACGACAGCTCTGTTATCCTCAGTTCCAGTCCGAATTCGCTCCGCAAGGACTCAACAGATTTTTCCCTTCTGGAACAAGCTTGCATCAGATTCTTCTTCCATTAAAATGGTGTGCCATGACTCCAATGCTGGGTGAGGTGTCATCTAATAGGATGTTTTCCGCGCAGGCACAAGATGGCGCTCTTCACTTGAACTGTTTAAAAAAAAATCTGATCTCCTGCCTGTTGCATCAGACACTGACTGACTGGTTCTTCCAATCGGATTGACTTGGGGTCTTCTAATCCGTCAAATAATAGAGATCTCAATGATAAACTCTGCTGGGCTGCGTGCAGCACCGGATTATCATAAGAAACAGTAACGGTCTTAGCCGGCCACTGGCCATCACATCAACATCCCCTACATACAAGGTCAGAAACACTAGAATTCCCCTTATTTCCAATAAACCTCTTTTACTTGACCAATACTAGATTCTAAATTAAGAACGGCGTGTTACTCATTTTTGGAATGAACAAAGAGATTTGTGTCTGTTAACTAATTAACACTTTTATTGGGGGGGGAGGTTGACATGAAAGACCTAAGAACCCACCTTGTAACTGTCCCTATCACGGAAATTGGACACTTTTTTAGCTCCGGATGGGAGCACATCAGTCTCACGCAGACAGATTTCCATTTGTTTCAACTGGGGAGAAGAAAAGGAGGAGGAAAGGAGAAAGAAAAGAGGCGGAGATGCATATTGGCAAGTTACCAGGAAGTGCAGGTGTCTGCCTAACAACAGGCTGCACCACTATGAGTGTGGTCCGGTGTGAGCAGGACATAGACACTCTGGGAAAACAAACCAAGCTTATGAAGGCAAACACACACACAGGGAAGGTCTGTTTGTGTCTGAGTGTGTGTGGCACATTGTCCATTCATGCGGTGAGCAAATAGATCCTTTCATTGTTTTTGTGAACAGCAAGACGGGATCCAAGATAATCTTCCATTCGGTCAAATCCATCCCAAGTTCAAGTAAACCTGCTCGCCCATTAATAATATATCCTGAACGCTGAAAAAAACCCTGATACATATTTAAACGGGCCCCATCCAAACCCAAGATTGTGTTTTTAAAGAGAAGAAATGTCCATGCATCATTCAACTTAGTATCACACAATCTACTGCACAAACCCAATTTCCCGTTTAAAGCTTTTCATCCCAGTTAGAGTGATCTATGTTCTGTATAAAAAAAAATACATTTAGGATTATGCCTAATATGCTGCAATCTGAGCATGCACGACAAATATACATAAACATATTTAAAACCGTTTCAACTGTGTCTATAGTGTGCAGTCAATCAGTTCAGTTTATAGTTCTATAATTTTAGAATATTAAAAGGTATTTTTGTTCACAACTTATCAGAACCTCAAGCAGCAGTTTTCAGTTCTCGTCCCACCACAACACTGCGTGACGTCACCACACCGATAGAAAGGAGTGGCAATCCATTCAAAGAAGCCAGACGCCAGCGGCATTGGGGACAAATGACAGCTAACAGTGGTTAGCAAAGCTCTGCGTCAAGCTGCCGGAGAGATGACGCTACCAGTACCGGAAGCGAGGTAAACGCATTTTCTTCTTCCTTTTTTTGTAAGTGGAAATGTGAGGAACTAGTAAGGGGAAGTGGTAAACCGTTCTATACATTTGTCACCGTCGGTGCTGTAAGTTAGCTAGCAGCGCCCTGTACGATCCGGTTAACATTAAGCGAGTCGCACCCGTCCGTCGTGCTTTTGTTTTGAAAGGGTCTCACCGGAACATCTGTGTTTTTCCCCCCCGGCCGCTCCGACATCAGGTTAGACGCTCCTCAACGCGGAGAAGAGGATGTGGCTCCGCTGACATCTGCGAGCCAGAGGTTCGACTGGAAGACGACCTCCGTCAGCTCGACAAAACACGGGACGGCGGCCATAGCAACCCTCCGAGACATGTAACTTCTTTTTAAAGGTAACTTAAACTCTCACAAGCGACCTCGGCACTTTCACGAGAGAAACGGGCGTTTGCGGCGTTAACCGCCGCGCGCACATTCAAAGCGGTGTTCGTTTTGTCACTTGACGTAAACTTCCGGTGCTGCGGTATGACAATAAAGTATAAATACTGACGTTAGAAGAGAAAACTCACACATGTTATGAGCGTCAATTGGATCCTCGTTTGTTAGCCAGCAATGGCTGTTTCGAGAAGTTGACGTGTCATTTATTCTTTTGGAGTCCCGACCCGTTACGTCTCCATGTGACAGAAGCTGTAAAACAAATCGTAACCCACACATTGAGTCGTGTGACCGATACGGAGACCTGTTGCTCGTTGTTGTGACTGCAGACCCACTGGTGACACCTTGTGAACGTTTCTATTCCCTGTTTCACCCGAAAACATAAGCTTCTTAAGATACAAGTTAGAGCTGTAATGTCCCGGAGTACAAATGCGGAATATCTGAGGTTTTACTTTTGATTTCAAGTGGAGGGTTAGATTTTTTTTTGGATCGTCCCATCTGCTCAAGTCAAGTGAACAGAAGAAGACAATTTGTCAAAGCTCTCTGTGTTATAACACAGCTCAAGTTTGTTTGGATGTGTTTGGAAGTGTGTCAGAGACTTTGTCTCTGTTTTTCAAATGAAACCCTTCATCCCTCATCGCCGCCCCGGCTCCTTTTTGAAAACACGTTGTTGTCGCTATTGTATACACTGAAAAGTAAACAGCGAAGAAATGTTTGTGTTGTGGAGAGTCATGAGCGATCCTCGCACACAAAACTAAAACGGCCCAACCGGTTCTCTGGGAGCGTCGCTTTTCCTTTTCAGCTGCTTGTGAGTGAGACCTGCTCTTTGGATGTTTGACCTTCTCCTTGTAATTGGCGGGCGTGGAAATGAGTCATGTATCCAAGTTCACTCCTAGATGAACTTCTCCACTCCAGAGCACCGATCTTAACCCGACCGAGTTAACCCCGACATCTACGGGCCAAACGCCTCCCAACGCCGAGCCTGGTTGGTCCCCGTCCCACGCCGTGTAACTGTATTCATTGCTCCTGCCCTCAGCGTGAAACCTGCATCACAGATTCCAGGCTAAACGCGCATCTTATCCCTTGTTTTATACCCCTTTTAGCCCAGAGAATTGGAGCAGGATTTAAGCGGAGTCGTAGGCCTCTGTCCCCAACAGCTCCCCAGTAAGGCTATCGGATTCAGCGAGAGTGGAAGGTGTGATGGATAGCCGATAAAAGGAGGTTTTGTCCTCCGGCGTCTCGGGAGGAGGACTCCCGAGTCCCCTGGCCGGGGCCCAGGCTGGAGTGAAAGGCTTGCGCTGCCGCCTTAAAGGACTCTCAGTGGATATTGAGTTTCCTCTGATTCTGTAGCATCGACCTGTAGACCTTCACGCTGCGCTTTGCGCGCACACCTTTTATCAGAGCCGCCTCGCACGTCCCAGATTAACTGTCGTTTTGCAGAGTTGTGAAATCATTGTGCTCTGGCATGAGGAAGAGAAAAGCACAGTTGCTGTGCGAGTGTCAGTGTGTGTGTGTGTGTGCGCGCATCGGTACCGCTGCTAAACCCGGCTCTGCTGTAAACGGCACCCTGATTAACACAACACAACACAATTATGTGATTACACAAAGTTCAGTGTCAACATGACCAAGTGGTGTGTTTTTACCTCAGCCATGTTTCTAAATCACGGCACTGAGCTGATCAGTCAGACGCACGTGTCTGAATTGAAGTCTGTGTGTTCGTACAAACACCCGCTAATCCTGTAATTGAGTGAAAAAGGGATCCATCCATGAGCAGATATTCCACCCAGATTTTGTTGGCCTACCAGTTTTGGCCTACCGGTCTTTTTCGCTCAATGGACGGGAATGTAAATCCTGAAATGAGGAACCCTGCAGTGACTGGTTCTTAAGCTCATTGTGAACCACCGGCTAGTTTAGGCCTCACTGTTTATTAATTGCCAATGGTTTTTAAATGTGTTTAAATATTGCAGAAGAGCTTGGAATGCCGTATAGCAGATTTGTGTGTGTGTGTGTGTGTGTGTGCGCGCGCTCTAGGACCATTGTAAAAACTTTATTTACTTAGATTTATCAAGTCAACCTTGTTTTCCAGGCGTCTGGTGTGGTCTTTGGGTCTTAATTTTGGGGGTTTGGCGCTGATGAGCGAGTGTGAGTTGGCTTACTGTGATGCAGCGGTACTAAAGCCGCCCCGCTGTAATGAAGTTCATCAGGTTAAAACATCTCTCATTGGAATGCATCGCATACTCAATTTATTCAGCACATAACTGTGTGCTGAGGCATAATTTAGCCTCTTCTATCTTTTGCAATTTGTATTTGATGAGCATCTTAACGCGGCCCTCAGCATGCAATTATATTTATGATGTTGGTGTTGATTACTACTGCTCTACTGGAGCTTTGTCCTTGGGGCGATTGCAAATTTAGAGGCAAGCACTATTTTACTTGTGCTTAAGAGAGTAACTTCCCATAGTTGTGAATGGGTTTGTCCCTTGTTTGAACCTGTATTCTAATGGAAAGCGCTTTTATGACAGAGTTCAATCCTGCAAATCTCCTCTCGTCAGTGGTAGTAACTCGGCACCATGCATAGATTTTCCACACATAGCCTACACCACCCCCCCCCCCCTCTCCCTGTTTTGTGTTCCTTACATCTTGTAAACAATTTATTGATTTCAGTCTGTGTCTCCTTCTGTCCTCCAGAGCACCCTAAAGCTCAGCCGGTCCCCGGGCTTTCCGTCCGTCATGAGGTGGCGTTGCTCTCGAAAACTTGCTGTGCTGGCCAAGGCTGGCTTCCTGCTCTGGGTGCTATGGCTGGGCTACGTTCTGCTGGCGCGCTCCTCTTTCCACTCCTCTTCCTCTCCGGAGGAGGAAGGCGAGGACCACAACCTCGTGGCGAGACAGCTCTCCGCTCAGGAGGCCGAGACGGTCGAGCAGCTGGCGAGGCCGCTCTACGTGAAGCCGCCACCGGACCACAACGCGCCGGGCGAGATGGGTCGGGCCACTCACCTCAACCTCAGCCCCGAGGAGAAGAAACAGGAGGAGGACAGCGTGGAGCGCTACGCTATCAACATTTATACCAGTGATAAGATTTCCCTTCATCGGCACATCCAAGACCACAGGATGAACGAGTGAGTAGAGCAAAAAGGCCCCTAAACTCACTGACTCTTCTTTTTATTGCTTTGGTACTTTTCTCTGACAATTCTAGCAGGCATACGTCTCCGACCTTGAAAGCTGCACAGAGCTGATAGCAATGCTGCAACCGTGGTGTCAGCCGTGTCTTACTTAACAAAGATTAGGTTGAGCTCTTCACTGGGATCGGTTTTCCACTGGCAATTAGAAACAAGGATGAAAGCGCTCAGGATGCACTGCAGGGCTTATTTAAGGTGCTGTAACCCCCCCCCTCCTCAGTGGATTTTTTTTTCCCATCCAGAAATGTTTTCCACAGCTACTCTCAACTCGCAAAGCACAATGTGCCATTTTTATAGGTTCCCCTTCTGCCTTTGCCTCACTGGCTCCCATCCTATTGAAACCTGCGTGTGGTGTCCGTCGGGGTGGAACCAGCATGCATGGAAAAGTCATGTGCTTGTTTTAGATGAGTGGAGTGTGATACATACATTTTCTCATGCTAAATCTTCTAAATTGGACTGTAAAGTCAATAAAGAGAAAAAATAATCTTTCCCCTCTGGAGAAACAAAGTGTAGAACATTTTACCAACGAAAGATGCTTCAGTCCTCTTTCCGGGCTGAGTAACCTGCTCGGAAGGTGTAAATTCAAACACTGTGCCTGTACCGAGGTAACGTTCAGCCCAGAGTGATCTTTAAACGCGAGTCACTCAACCGCAGGCAGCGCTGTGACATGCACGATGGGTATTGTCGCCGGGAGAGTGCATGGCAGTTGGCAGGATAAGTGCACATTTGTCGAGGCTCGGTAGTGAATGAGTGAGCGGGGGGGGGGGGATGCGGTGTGCAGCTCTGCAGCGTACGTGCTCGGCTGCTCTGACCACGACACGGGGATCCATCTGCTGTTTGCGCGAACATCCGAGTCATTATGTCAGAGAGCTGTTTGGGGGATCATTTGTCTGCTGGTCAGCTATCACAGACCTGCCCGATCGCTCACGATTGCTTCCTTACTAATAGTAAGCAAATGTGCAATGCTTGGGTATTTCAAGGTTTATTTGATTTGTGTGTGTGTGTGTGTGTGTGTGTGTGTGTGTGTGTACGCGCTTGTCGCAGTGCTTCAGCCACTCACTAATTACACAGCTCCCTGCTGGGTGCCGGTTTTGCTCTTGCTTATTAAGAGCTTACTCTTTTGGTCGCCGCCTAATGCCTGGACGCCTTAGTTCTTAATCCCGACGTTCTTCCAACGGTGTAGTGACTTTAGCCCCCGGCTACACAGCAGTGACGCCCTCTCAGTGATACTGGTAACTAACGATGAAGCTTAGTGAAGATAATGGTTTTGTCGTCAAGTTATTAGTTGACAGTTTTTCACTTAATTTTCTGTCCATCGTTGCTCTTTGTTGTGTCTGGTTTGCTCGAGTTCCTCCCGTCTCCCCCACCGTGGTAAAAAAACACATCATTTTTCGCTTGAGTGAGTTCCTTTTAGGATACTGGAGTTTAAAGGATGAACGGATTTGAGTCAACTCTTTCTCTTCCCTTCTGACACACCTCTCAGGTGCCGCAGTAAGAAGTTTGAATACCGCCGTTTACCCACCACCTCTGTGATCATCGCCTTCTACAACGAGGCCTGGTCCACCCTGCTGAGGACGGTCCACAGTGTCCTGGAGACCACGCCGGCCGTTCTGTTGAAGGAGGTCATCCTCATTGATGACTACAGTGACCGAGGTCTGACACTGATAAATGAACAAGTATTTCCTTCCTGCTGGTTAAGTGAGGCGGAAAAGAACCCAGACCTCAGTCGTGCTTTCTTCACATTGACGGCATGAAAGAGAACAAGTCCTGTAGGACTCTGCTACGTTTAGAATGAAGAGGCTATATGTGGCGCAGTGAATGGATGATGCCTCTGGAAATAATCCGTAAGCAATTACTAAAGGGCCGTTAGAAAGGAGGCTGTACACGTTCCCGGTAGTGATGGAATATTTAGTAATGTTACATTGAGGCTTACTGGCAGTGTAATTTTTCTGGGAAAGATGATGTAGGGATTTCTGTAAAAAAACAATCATTTGTAGAAATAAAAAAATGATTTCATAAGTAATTGCAAATGATTCATCTAATGTGTGTCTGTGTCACTGTTGACCAGCTTGTGTGTGTGTGCGTTTGTGGTAATGTGGGGTTTTCTTTGAGAAGCAGGTTGTTATATTTAGACCATTTCGTTTTAAATTAAAAGGCAAGCAAGACGTATTGCAACATTATTTCTGCGGGCTGAAATAGGTTGAAGGTCTACTTACCAGCTCTGTGAATGATACCACTTGGTTATAGGAACTGGATATAAGAGCGACTCTCTTTCCTCCTGCCTGTCTTAATGGAATTGGTAGTTGCTGCCAGCTAGTCTAGTCCGTTTGTACTGGAGACATTACACCATAGCAATGACTTCAGCGTGACCTGAGCTGCCGTGACATCATTTCCTCTCCTCCGACCTGCCCTGACCAATGCTAGATGTGCAACTCCCAAGCAGAACGCCCGCTGCACGTAGACGCATAGACAGCGGTGAAGGACTGACTGTGATGAATGAATGAATGAATGAATGTGGTTGCACAGGCCCGAGCCTCGTATTCACTTCAGTTAGATCATAAAAGGCGTGTTTACTCCACTTACCTGACATTCAAGTTCATCGTACTGGGAGAAGTATTCGTAAGTGGATAAAAGGTCATTTTAAAGAAATGACATGTAAGGAAATATTCCAACTTTGATGTGGATTATGTCTGTTTTTTTTATAAAACCAAAAGGCTACCTGAAATCCAAACTGGAGGACTACTTCAGTAATCTGGAACGCGTGCGGCTGATCCGCACCAACAAAAGGGAGGGGCTGGTCCGGGCGCGTCTCATTGGGGCCACCTACGCCACGGGGGACGTTCTGACCTTTCTGGATTGCCACTGCGAGTGTGTCCCCGGTTGGATCGAGCCTCTGCTGGAAAGGTGGGTTCACCAAATCGGAAGACTAGGAGCTTTGAATGCAAATAAAAAAACAATCCAAACCAGTTGCTAAACCAGAGATGTATTTATGTGTGTTCTCCTCCCATCGTGCCTCGCGGTTAGGATTGGTGAGAACGCCAGTACCATCGTGTGCCCCGTGATCGACACCATTGACTGGAACACCTTTGAGTATTACATGCAAACAGATGAGCCGATGATCGGAGGCTTTGACTGGAGACTCACCTTCCAGTGGCACCCGGTTCCAGAAGTGGAACGCAGGAGGCGCAAGTCTCGCATCGACCCCATCAGGTGACCGCGTGCTGCTTCCTACGGTTGGGTTATTGATTGACTTTGACTCTCCGAGGTGGAGTTTTGTTGCACTTCAATCTGCTCTGCTGAGCTCTTGATCACAACCGACTATGTACAGTGTGACATTTCCTAATCATCCATTAAAGTGGGGCCATGGTGATTATTAGTTGAGGTTAAAGGCTTCCCTTAATCAAACTAAATTATTCCTCTGATTAGACAGTTGAGTAACTGAATTAGCTTTGGATTAAAAAAAGGGACTAAATTATTTCTTTGGAAAGGAAGGTAGGATTTAACATGACCTTATTTTCACTGTTTCTACCAGGTCGCCCACGATGGCAGGTGGTCTGTTTGCAGTGAGCAAAGCCTACTTTGAGCATCTAGGCACATATGACATGGGCATGGAGGTGTGGGGAGGAGAAAACCTGGAGCTCTCCTTCAGGGTGAGTTCAGTGCAAATGATATGCCGCTTAGCCATATGAGACACGAGGGAGGCTTCAAAATCAAACGCGTGGAAACGGTGACTAATTCCAGCCGGCCTTCTTACCGAAATCTCATTCTCGCGCATCAAACATCCGTTGACTTGGCGTCTTCGTTGTTGTGACAAAGACCGGACGAACACCAATTAGGTGGATTGGCATTCCAGAATCAGAATCTCTTTATTTTTCACCGGGTAAAACCTGTGAGCCGTCGGCCGCTGGCGGTCGGCGTGCGGTTGCAGCGAGAGTGACTCGTGTCGGTGTCTGGCCGCAGTCAGCCATCTGAAACGGCACAGCGATATCGGCTGATACCTCGTTGGTACGTCGGTGTCGCTTTTCACTTGTCTACGTCAATCAAAGTGTCCCAGATTTTAGGTGTGTGTTCGTAGCAGGAGCCAAAGGTAGGGAATATAAATTGTGTGTTCATTATTTAGGGTGTGTGAGTGTGTGTGTGTGTGTGTGTGTGTGGTTTCAGTGCAAAGAAGGACGAGCTGTTCCCCTGAGTGATGTGTTATGCATGTGGAAATAAGAAATTCCTCTCGCTGGAACCTTTTGCCATCCCATAATTTATGTTTAGTGAATTGGTTTTCAACCCAGAGTGCTTAAAACCATATATATATATATATATATATATATATATATATATGGTCAGGGGTGAAATGCTTAGTGAATTAAGATGGAAGGTACTGTCATGTTTGGCTATGGATATATTTTTGTTTGATTGGAACATAACTCATAGCTTCAAGTATTCAGACATGCCATGTTAACAACCTCTCATGCTTTAAAAGTGTTTTTTTTCCCTTTATTTTTGTCTATTTACAAAGGAAGATCTAGCAATTATAGAATGCAAATTTAAAGAATAAATCCAAGCTGCTTTCAAAGGCAGCCTCCCGAATGAAGAACACGGGGGGTAGAATGTGGGAAGCTTTATTCGGCATTCAGAGAAAGGATTTCTAGCATTGCAGCAGTCGGAGCAATCGACAGCCATCAGGCAGACCTACTGCAAAAGACTTTTACTTCCTGCTTACAAACGACTTGCTAGTTTGTTGGCAGGCAAAGCAATAAACACCAGCTGTAGATGGAAGTGCCAAAGTTCACTAGTGGTCAGTTCCTCTCCCACGAGGCGTATGTACGACTTGGTTAGTGATCTGTGTAACTGCTGATTGTCTTTATGGTTTTTATATTAAGAACCTTTGAGGAAAAATGAGCAATGTAGGGTACAATATTTATGGGTATCTATAAAAGGTGCTGTCTTTTATTATGTAGTCATTGATTAACAAAGGTTACAATGTTAAAGAAAAATAAAAAAAGATCTGATTATATCATGTGTGTGTTGAACTCTCCGTCCAGGTGTGGCAGTGCGGCGGCAGTCTGGAGATTCACCCCTGCTCCCATGTGGGCCATGTGTTTCCTAAAAAGGCCCCCTATGCACGGCCCAACTTCCTCCAAAATACCGTACGAGCCGCAGAGGTTTGGATGGACTCTTATAAACAACACTTCTACAACAGGAATCCTCCAGCCAAAAGGGTAGGACAGTTACTAATGAAAGGAAACCCGTTTCTAAGTACTCCTTCCAGCTCAACGTGCGGCTGTGATGCCGATGCCGCTGATTTAAGCTTACTCGCTGCTCCACCTTGGTCCAAAAGCATCAAAACCTTTGCTTTAAAGTAATATGACTTCAACAAATGCAACATAAGAACCAACGGCATTTTCTGTCGTGCACTTTGTCACGCAGTTCTTGCAAAACATTACAACATTTTTCTTACATGAGACAATCGCGTTTGAGACTGAAATCCCTGGCAACCATGGGAGAAAAAACTTTTATTCAAAGTGCAAAACATCCCTGAAATTGGCAATATGGGAGGAGGAGATGAGTGGAGAGGCACATGGATGAGAAGAAAGGGACGATATTGGATGTGATCCAGCAGCACCCAGAACCATCCCCATCCCCAACAGTCACCATATCTATAATATTTTACCGTAATTATTTTTGTCTCAGTGAGTAAAATGCTGTATTGATTACTGTACCTTAACTCTATTTGTGTTCATGGAAATATGAGCAGTAGTACTGTACTGGAACAATCTTTCAATGAAAGTACTAAGACAGCCGTGGCTTATACAGCATATGTGTTTGTCGCACTGTAAACTCACAAGCTTTAAGTTCCATTTAGATGCTTTGTATGATATGAATCACCTGTCTGGTGTCAACTAATGAAAAAGGTGTGTGTCTGTGTGTCTGTATCTATATCTATCTGTGTGTGTGTGTGTGTGTGTGTGTGTGTGTGTCTGTATCTATATCTATCTCTGTGTGTGTGTGTGTGTGTGTGTGTCTGTATCTATATCTATCTGTGTGTGTGTGTTTGTGTGTGTGTGTGTGTGTGTGTGTGTGTGTGTGTGTGCCTCTCAGGTTCTGAACGTTCGGCACCATCAAAAATTCATGTATCTCAGTTTCACCTACCTGAAAATAAAAAAATACATTATTAATGTTGGGGATCTTTGATCAAACAATATGTCCGGAGCAGATTGAGGAAAGCACTGCCTTTTATTGGCATGTGAACCGAGTGCAGAGCCACGGACACTTGTATGCAGGGACATTGCTGAGTTATTTGTTTTCCTTACCTTTTTAAAGGTGTTCAAACAGCCGGGTGGCCGCTTGTCACTGTCCTCCAGATGTTTTATTAGATGAGGTTCTTACACTACACCTGCTCATTCAAAAGAACCACCTGGCATTCATTTTTAGGAATATTTGGAGATGTAACGGTAGAACCCTTTTTCACAAAAGGTTCTACTTTACATCTTAAAAACTGAATTTAACTTTTGTTTATCCCGGCAACATTTTCTGTGTGTTCTGATTATGGAAAGTTTGTGACTGAAATGGTGTACCCGTCAGGCAGCGCATATTTAAAGTGTTTGAATGCCTTAAGGAGTTCTCTACCTCAGCAAACACCGCTATCTGATCCTAGTTAAGTTCCTGGTGTAAAGGGTGTCAGTAGGATGTAAATATTTAATCTATATGGCATGACTGCTGATTAGCGGCTTCAAATAAAATGCCTCATGTGCCGCAAGCGACCAGGGTGCATTACGGTAAATCTAATCTCTGTCAGAAGGTAAAGATGAAACAATGTCGTTTGTGTTCCTCCTCCCTTGACAGACAAACTTATTTGTTGTGTGCTGACTTTCCAGGAGACCTATGGGGATATCTCAGAGCGGCTACTGCTGAGGGAGAGGCTGAAATGCAACAGCTTTCAATGGTATCTGGAGAATATCTACCCGGAACTCCACGTACCTGAGGACAAGGAGGACTGGCATGGGGCTGTGAGTGTCTGCACGTTTGCCCTCTTCCAATCAAAGTGCTGCGTCCACGTTTCATTCTTGCTTCGTTTCATTTACTCTGAGCCGGAAACTGGGTGTTGGCATTGGGGGGGGCGCGGGGAAATCCCCAAAGCCATTTGGACTCCACTCAAGACCATAGAAATCCATGGTGGAGTATTCCATTGTCCATTCAAAGAGCCTCCGTCTTGCCGTGGGGCCACTTGTTTTACCTTGACAGCTGTGAGGTCACATGCTGCATGTAACCTTGGCAGGTTTTTATTGGAAAACAATAGTTTCGGTAAAAAGGGTCTGTTTCGTATTGATATGGTTAATATAATTAAGTGTGTGTGTGTGTGTGTGTGTGTTCTCCCCCTGCCAGGTACGAAGCGTGGGAGTAAACTCTGACTGCCTGGACTACAACTCCCCCGAGCACAATCCCACAGGTGCCCACCTTTCTCTGTTCGGCTGCCACGGGCAGGGGGGCAACCAGGTACATAAGAGCATTTCACACCTTGTTTACTTTCCTTCTCACCCCCCCTCTTTCCTCATGCACATATTCTCTCTGTTCACGATCTCCTGGCGCTCTCTTCTAACCTCTAAAGGGAGACGCCGTAGTCGATTCGCCAAAGAAAGTTGCTCTCTGCTTGAATTTAATGAAGGGGAAGCGTACAGAATTGTAGCATAGACTGCAATATTAGTGAACTGAACCAAAAGGTACTTTTAAACCGAACGCCTGCCAAGTCCAGTGAGGGATGGTTCGGCAAGCAGAAGATTAGTCTGTCTATGTTTAAGTCAGACACCAGGCTGCGCTCCCTGTGAATCTCCAACCCACCTGATACGTCTGATTACCCCGCCGATGCGCCGCATCAGGTGTCACAAAAATAAGCACCTTGAGTGACTGAAAATCAATGTTTGGATGGCTCCCCGCTGAAACAAAAGCCTCCGAGGCGCCCCCCCCCCCCCCCCCCCCATCGCCTCCCGCCTGCTCCTCGATTCCTGGCCCAACCAACCACCACGTGGTGGTTGTAAAAAGATACAAGAGCCTCGTGGGCAGAATCAGAGTAAATACGCTTAAAGGAGCTGCCATAACGGTCCACGTTGCACCTGGAAGATGTATGAGATGTAAAGAGAAGGATGGGGGGGAATCACTTAACCTGCCGTTTAACGGGAAGCCCGGCCAGTGTGGCATCCGTCGTCTCGATGGGCCGGGATGTCCAATGGACTCTGGTGAGGAGAGACTTGGGTTTGTGTTCTCGTCCAGTTGATGAGACGACCTGATGGACACACAGACGCCGCCACGCGCTGGTGGTTCAATAAGGACTCAATCCCACAGCAGCGTGAGGGGGGGGCGTCCTGTAATCCTGTTAGGGGGGAAAAAACATGCCACAAAAAAGAGAGATTAAAGTAGAAAGCGATTATGTACTAAAACAAATCAAAAGGAGGCGGAGCTTCACTCTGAGTCGCTGTTGCTATTAAGAGTTGGTATTCCTTTCAATGCAAAGAAACATAAAAACATGTATAATCTGATCAAATGACCACATAACCGGGTCTTTCTTCTGCTCCAGTACTTTGAGTACACGACTCGGAAGGAGATCCGCTTCAACTCGGTGACAGAGCTGTGTGCTGAGGTGACTGAGGGACAGACCGCCATCAGTATGAGGCACTGCCCCGGTGATGGGGAGATCAAACCTCCCAGTATCACCTGGGACTTCAGAGCGGTAGGGGTTAACACACACAAGCACCCAATCATTACCCAACGCCACATTTCAGGCATGCCCTCATCCTACCACTGATCTAAACGGCCTCCTTCGAACCTGTCAGGACGGGACCATCTACCACCGCCAATCGGACATGTGCGTGACCGCCTACCGCGCACCGGGGGGGCGCACGGACACCCAGATGAGGCGGTGCACCGCAGGAGACAAGAACCAGCAGTGGAAGTTTGAGTGGTAGGAGGAGGAGGAAGGCAGAAAGTAGCATGGAACCCCCAAGTGACCTTCGTTTACCACAGTGCAATTACTACAGAGGAGGTCTTCCAGCGAGGGTGGCGGGGAAATGACAGGTGGTGTTACAGTCACTTTAAGCCAATGAATTTCCCAATTCAGAGCTTTTTATTATTATTTTTTTTACCGGTTCGAATGACAGAATAAGGGAGGAATGAATGAGGTTTGTTTGGCGGAACCACAGACTTTCATGTTCATCGAAGTGCCTCTGCAACCAAAATCGAGTCGAGGGCCCAAAGTGCCGCCATTGTCTCCGGTGTGACAATTATTATTATTTTTTTTACCGGCCAGCACATCAAGAAGTGCCTTTCACGGAGTAACAAAAGCGTTTGCTAGAAAACGTCATGCAAGAACCTGCCGCACAACAGGATGTGACTTTGATGTGCAATTAAGATTGTTGTTTGTTTGTTTGTTTGTTTGTGAAGTTGTCGAGGGGGGAAAAAAACGTTTTAAAGAAGGGCAGCTCAAAAAAAGACAGGAATGTTGGGTCAGCAGCGCCTTGACACAAACCAGCTACTTCCTCACACGCTTCGTCATGTGAGGGTCTGCGCTGCGGTCATACGAGACTGCTCAATTCCAGCCGGTTTCATGGTAGAACGCGGCCCGTATAAGACCCGAAGCCTTTCCACTAAGTGCAATTTGCCCCAGAGGGCCTGGTGAGTTGACAAGAATATTCTCATCGATTTTTCTTTCTTTCCCTGTTGTGTGAAATGAAGAATACCCTCTAAGCTCACCTGACGCTGTGCCTTGAAAGGTCGTCACTCTAAAAGAACAGGTTTTCTTTTTACCCAAGAGGAAATGCGCCTGATAATGTCAAGTGCATGTAGAAATATATTTTAGAGTGCTAAGAACTAAAACGACACTGGCTTGATGCAATTGATTTTACTCACAGACAGAAACCCGCCGTTTCTAACGAGATCGCTTAACTTGGCAGTAACAGGCTGTTTTGTTAGGCCTCCTGTCTGTAAACCGTACTTGAAGCAGCATCCATAACGCGCTACTCTTTTGGTTTTCCACTGAAGACCGTTATTTTTTCTTTTGTACCGGGATTCAATGACGGAGAGATGTGTCGTAGCTGTTGCTGAAACGCTTGTTGAGTAGCAGCTGAATTCGCCGAGGACTGCCTGATCGCTGAGGAGTGTTTGGCGTCTGTGGTCCTTTTTGAAATCATGAAAAGAGATATTCATACTAGTCGATGCATACACGTAACATGACGCCAGTTTCGTGTTAGCTTTTGTAAATAATGTTTATTTTAAGGGACCAAAGTGGGACAGTGGTGTCGGAAAGCACCTTTTTTAAAACTACTGATAATGCAAAAAGGGAGGGTGATGATGATGATGGTGATGATGATTTTTAAGGCTGACTGAAATGGGACGGCTGTTTTCAATGATGATAAAAGCTGTCGGGATGATTGCAAGAATAAAAAAATCTAACCACAGATGCACAGCGTCATTTTCTTTGTTTCTATCTTGGCTCAATAGAGCGACAGTTTGCCAGTGCAGCCGATGCCACATGCAGCAAAAGAAAACTAAGCTGTAGGGCGGTTCATCCACCTGCCCTTTTTAATTGCTTTAACAACAAGATGAAACCGCTGTGTTCCTTCACCAATTTGGCATGTGCTGAAAATCTGCCAACGCCTCACAGTGCTCACTCTAGTCAGAGCGGGGTTTCAGTATTCAGTCATTTGGCCCCATCTACTGGTAGCAAGCGCCACTGAAGTCTTCACCGGCTCAAGGTCAGGAGCGGAGTTTACATTTGATGGGAGTGATGTAGGATTACATTAATGTTTAGGTTGTACATTGTCCATTGTTTTCTGTCCAATGTTTCAGATAATTCACCATGCAATAAACACATGTTTTATTTTGCCCTTGATTATTTAGATGGATGGTTTGTTTTATTTGCCTGCATAGAGACAGAATCACAGCGCACAGGTCAGTATTCAGGCTGTAAATAGTACGGTATCTGGGCTTTGCTCTGAGTTTACTGTAATTGGGAATCTGTAACACGTTTGGCTTCAATGATCAGATTAATTACCAGCCTCTATCAAAATATTACCGCAGCCCAATAGATAAATTATTGATCCTGTCACACCCGCTTTTGATTGCTTGATGGCAATTAGTACTTTTTCCAGCTGTTTGTCTTTGAGTGAAAGCCTTACTTTATTGAACGAAGCACACGTTCATCCAAAGTGATTCCCACAAAACTATGTGACCGACGAGTTCATAAAAGTTAACAAGCGTATATATATAGGTGGATGTATGTTGTATTTCAATTCTTATGACTTGAAGGCTGAATGTATTTGTGTCACAACAGGGAAGATCACACCCAACCCGGAGGTGCATAGGCAGTTCACCGTAGTTTCATTTCCCGGGCAATATGTTCACACCAAATATCCGTTGCATGGAAAATGTTCTCCAACATCCGGTCCTGAAAGAAAACATCATTAAAACATCTTAATGAGATCAATTATTTAAATTCATTTTAATTGGCTTAACCTCACGTTTTGTGTTGAATTTCATCTTTGGTGTAAAGATTTTTGATATCAGTTTCCTATGAGTGACCACTGGTTGCATAATAAAAATGAATTCCAGATATGGGTACTGGGTTCTCCCAGTGTCATTGAAGAGGGTTCAGAGCTTTTAGGGTATAAAAAAAAGAATGCCTCATGTTTATTACATGTTAGAGACTGGTAATAGTAATAATAATCCTGATTATTGAGAAAACACTAATCGAAAAATCTACTTTACTGTTAAGTGTCTGTTCGTGGTTAAATATCGCCCCACATCCCTCACAGGTCAACATGATTTACCTGACGCTACACTGGATTAAACAGCATACTACATTCAACTTCTGGTTTCACGGTTTTCTTTCAAATTAAAAGTGTATTACAATTTCTTATAACAAGCACGAAACTGAATGAATAACCTACAATAGGTAATGGCATCAAACTATTCGTCTGATTTGTGTATTTATTATTTACTACAAGAAAAATAACAATTTCAGCATTTTAGTTGCTGCTCAGTATTTTACTTTGTATTCCGTAACCGGAAACGTAGTTGCTAGCGTGTCACTTTACAACAGGTTTTATTTAATTACAATTCATATTAGCCGTGAGGGGAATGTATGTCTGTTTACTCAAAGTTTGGTCATGTTTAACGTTGCACAAGTGTTTAACGGGATATAAACTATGGGGCACTGTAATGTTTAGGATTAAACTGACACGTGTCCTTTTAAACACTGAACGTCTTCCATCAAAACTAACTAAAAGTGGGCCTAACTTTTACGTGGGAGCCTCCCGGGTTCTCACTGCGTAACACGGCGAACCAGCGTTTCTCCGATGGGATGCCGAGCGCGTTTAATCCTAGTCCGTTAATCCCGTCACGTCTCTCCAGCGCGCCGTTGAACATGGTCGAGGAGGAGGAGGAGGAGGCGGAGGAGTGTCCTCCCAACGGCAGTCAGCATAAAAACTTCACGGTCTCGCTTCCGCTAGAACTCACAACTTCGGCAGACGGGCAGCAACGAAACTTTCAAAAGTCTCTCGCCAAAGCTCCAAGTAACTCTCCCGTTGAAGGAACGCGGATTAAACGTTGACGTCATCAAACAGAAACCGCGACGACGAGTAGGCGGCGGCCGGCGAAGCGGAAAAAAAACTTTTACTTCTCCCTCGGGGGCGCGTGAAGCGTGCGCTCGCGGGGTTTAGGGGGGGGGGGTAGAGAGGTGGTGAGGGAGAACGCGACGCGATGTCGCTCTGTGGGAGAAGGCATCGACGTAAACTCCTCTACGTCCTCTTCGGCGTCACCCTGGTGGGATACCTGCTCTTCACCGGCCGCGACTCGGGGCCCGCGAGCCGCCGGGAGGCCCCCGCGGAGCCGGAGGTGGGCGACGGCGGCGGCGAGGAGCTGAAGAAGCCCGTCTACGAGAAGCCGCCGCTGGATTTAAAAGCCCCGGGTGAAATGGGCCGAGCCGTCCATCTAAATCTCCTCGGAGAGGAGAAAAGAAAAGAAGAGGAGAGCGTGAAAAAGCACCAGATTAACACTTATGTCAGTGACAAAGTGTCGCTGCACCGGCGGCTGCCGGAGAGATGGAACCCGCTGTGAGTACCGGAGGACTCGAGTCCTCATTCACAGGAAACACTTAAACCCGAGGGGGGGGGTTGAACCCTGTGAATGCTGAGAAATGGCCACTGTAGTATTTGCTAATGGGGAGTAACGGCCGCCTTGCCCGTGTCTTAATGCTTCCTTTGGTGTTCAATTGGTCAATCACATGGCTCCGTGTATTTACTTTGGCAAGCCTCAGCCTTCACGTCACCGTGTCCGTAACCGAGTTACCCAGTTACATCCCCCCCCCCCTCACCCCCTACGGCCCACTAACATGCCACCTCTCCTCGCCGATGGCAGTTGCAGAGAGCTGAAGTACGACTACCGGTCTCTGCCCACCACCACCGTGGTCATCGCCTTCTACAACGAGGCCTGGTCCACCCTGCTGAGGACGGTCCACAGCGTGCTGGAGACGTCCCCCGATCACCTGCTGAACGAGGTGGTGCTGGTGGACGACTACAGCGACAGAGGTAACTGAGCACGGCACCGGTGCACAGGTGGAGATTGTCAGATGTAGATTTTGAGGGAGTGGTTGTAAAACGTTAGGGATCGTGTCCTCACCCTCTGTATAATTGTGCAATTGTATAGTTGTGCGGAAACTGTTCCCACAAATCAACACACAAACTCTCTGAATCATCGACCCAGCCTTTATGGAGTGTGGACGGTGTTATTTTAGTGACATCACATGGTTGATCTGACCAGAGCTGCTGTGTGTCAAACGCACATTTTAAAGTAAATATAAACCTGGCTGAAAAAATTCAACCTTTTACGTGTCTAATTCCTTCATTTTGTTTGACCAACCTTTTTGACTTGTTATCCAAAAGAAGGGAAAACACTACAACTCAAGAGAAACTAAAGACTATTTACCTTTTTGTTCGTCGTCTATCAAACGCTGGCAGCAGAGTGTAATTGTTGTGTTGTGTTTTGTCCTTTTTTTAGGCATTAAATGTTTGAAAAGAGATCTTGAGCAACTTACCTGGTCTCAATCCAAACCCAGCCGTCACACACACACACACACACACACACACACACGGAGAACGACACCTTTATAAGATTTCTTTTTCTTCATTTCCTGAAGCTCACCTGAAGGAGCCGCTGGAGAAGTACATCTCCGGTTTGAGGAAGGTGCGTCTGATCCGAGCCACCAAGAGGGAGGGGCTGGTGCGGGCGCGGTTGCTAGGGGCGGCCGATGCCACGGGTGATGTGCTGACCTTCCTGGACTGCCACTGCGAGTGTCACGAGGGCTGGTTAGAGCCCCTGCTCCACAGGTTAGGAAAGACTGTCTCGTTCTCTGAGTATCTTGTGGCCTTGTGATTTCTTGTCGAAACGTCTCGTAGTGACGCTGAACCTCCACCAGCCGGCCGAAGGAGCGCGAAAGGGGACATCGGAGATGATCAATAAGCGCCGCTTCTCCTCTTCTCTCTGACGTGTGACTTTCCCTCCAGGATCAAGGAGGAGCCGTCGGCTGTGGTGTGTCCCGTCATCGACGTGATCGACTGGAACACCTTCCAGTATTTAGGGAACCCCGGCGAACCCCAGATCGGGGGGTTCGACTGGCGGCTGGTCTTCACCTGGCACGTGGTCCCAGATTATGAACAGAAACGCCGCAGCTCGCCCACTGATGTCATCAGGTGCGTGTCTGTGGGGAAAACCATCACGTAATGAACACATACGGTTTTAAGCATAACTACGGACTAGGATATGAATCAATACTTCATCCCTGCCGCCAGCTGGTATAAAAGCTGGGACATCATGGTCTCAAACAGATGGACCATCTACAAGAAGCATGGAATAATCGTCTAATGTGTTTTTTATTTGTTTTTACCCTCAGGTCTCCTACTATGGCGGGTGGTCTGTTCGCTGTGAGCAAGAGCTACTTCCATTACCTGGGGACGTACGACACAGGAATGGAGGTGTGGGGAGCCATAGAACCTGGAATTCTCCTTCAGGGTAAGAATGGACTGGCTGACAGGCGGGTAGTAGTCGTTGGGGGGGGGGGCGGCGTGCGCATGTGTATGTATGCATGTGTCGTGCACGTGTCGGGCGGGTTATTTATTTTTTTGAATCCAGACTTTCTTGGGGTGGGCGGGGCTTGCTCTTGCTCAATGGTCGGGGAAACACTGCGGCACAATGTGATGACACAACGCGGCTTCACCAGGCGTCTGGATGTGGTTTAGATTTACCAACTGCATCATGTGACTTCGCCTCATCAACGTGCAAGAATTATGACTTAAAGACCCGTGAAAACAAGCCAAATAATAAAATAAATTAACTTAAATTAATAATTTGTAAATCTTTCTTTCCCTCAATAACCAAGAATATTTCCATTAAACAACTAAACCGCCTCTCTGTTTCCTCACAACAAGGCCGTGCTTTGTGTTGACGGATTGCATCATGGCTCTGAGGCTAACCAAACCCCGGTGGTGGTGTTGTTGTTGATGTCTCTTAGATCTGGCAGTGTGGAGGCAGCCTGGAGATCCACCCATGCTCCCACGTGGGCCACGTCTTCCCTAAAATGGCCCCCTACTCGCGCAGCAAAGCTCTGGCAAACAGCGTGAGAGCCGCTGAGGTCTGGATGGACGAATACAAAGAGGTCTACTACCATCGAAACCCCCACGCACGACTGGTGAGTCTATGCTAATGCTACCAAGTACAACCGATGCTAATGTCTGAATGATTTGAGTATTGGGGAAGACAGTATTTCTTTAGATTTCTTTTTATTTCTTTAACCCTTGGTCCCACGCATGCGCAAAAGAACATGTCGCTGCGCCGCCGCTGTGTAGAGAAGCAGCCCTGATTAGGTGACACATGGGATATATGAGCGTCAGACACGCAGGGGGACGGAGGTGTCATTACCACCTTTCCATGTCACCCGTTGCCAGCGTGTATCACCCACCTGTCCCTGACGGGGGGGGTGGAGAGCAGTGCTAACCCATTTGATGCTGCTTTTGTGCATGCACAGACCGAGAGGAGGAAGGGGGGGGGGGTGGGAGGGGTGCAGTGTAGTTAAAAGGAGAAGCTCCCCAAACACGGATCAGGTGGCGCTCATATCCCTGAGAGGTGCTACCCTTGCCAACCTCGCAGAGGCTCGGCAAAACCCAATCCACCGAAGCCTACAGACCGACACGGCAGCTCCCGATGGGGAGCAGCAGGCCCGCTCATACGATGCAACGTATCCTGTTCAACAGGCTCTGATCTCGTGATACTGTAGCATTTCCTGGCATCTGACAGGCTTTATTTTCTCTTAATTAGCACTTCCAGTAGTTTAATGAATTCCAGTTACCAGGGTGCTGCTTTTGCTGAACCTATAAAGTTATTCTTTGTAAATTACGGAGGCAACACACGGCCTTCGGCGCAATGGGCTTCTTTTGCTAGACGTCTGGTAGGACCAAAATTGGTTGGTTCCAAGCCCACAATAGTTAACTTGAGTCAGCCTCAGCATATATTGATGCCTTATTTGACTATTTCCAGTCTGTCTGGTAGGCGACTACATTGACAAAGACAAAGAGGGAAAAAAACAACCCTGTGCATTAGTGTTCCAGGATGGCGGCCCGCTCTTGACTAATGAATAATCTAAATAAACACAATTCTAAAAATATAAAACTGAATTGGTGTCAGACTGCTAAGCACGCTTCTGTCGGGCAGCCTCTGGGTTGTGTTCTCTGGTGGTCCTTACTGGTCCCTCCCATCACAGCGACAGCAGGTTCACTCCTCGGGGAATCTGTCTCTCATGCTAATTAATTGATGAAGTGCCAATTAAAGCCGTGTTTGGGAACCACCAACATCGATCATCACGCCGCGTTCCTTTGCAAGCAGGTTGAGCCTGAATGCTTCCCCGGCATTTTCAACCGCCTTAACTATGTACGGCATAAATGCATTTGCATGAGCGCATGTTATTTGCATTAACTGACATGCGCACAGTGACAGATACTCATGATACTCTTTCTCCTGTTGTGAGGGGCCTCCCTACAGACGGACAAAATTACAACCAAATAAAATCAGTATTGTGACATCACAGTAGTATCTTAGCAGTAGTAGCCCAAATGGGCTTTGAAGGACGAAGATTCAATTCGCTCGTGCACTGGTTTAAAACCAAACATAAACATTGTATGAACGACAAATTCTGTATGCCAAACAAACCGCTCTCGTATTGCATTTGGGAGTTATCCAGCTAATATGCCCAATCCCCCAAGCCGTAGAAATAAAACTGAAGCGCATAAATTGCTCCTTCGTCCAGCTCATCATTTTCATCACTCTGATTGAAATATACAGTTATGTTCCGTACATGCTACAGCAGTGCGGTTTTACGTCCCGTAGTCAAGGACTCCCAGGTTATCACGGCAGACAGATGCAGCCGGCATGATACCGTGTTCTTTGTTCTTGCAGGAGGCCTTTGGAGACGTGACGGAGCGAAAGAAGCTCAGGGAGAAGCTCGGCTGCAAGAGCTTCAGGTGGTATCTGGATAACGTTTACCCCGATATTCACGTCCCAGAGGATAAGCCCGGCATGTTTGGAATGGTGAGAACACGCCGTGAGTCAGGTCTTTGGTTGCAGTATGAATCCAACTATTCCCACCAGTTTGATGGAATTCAAGCTGTGCAGAGCAGTTTAGAACGAAGTTGTCAATGTGTGATGTTCCCGATTAGCATGGATTTCTTTTACCATTTGTGGGCTTCTGTAATCTATATTTTTAGCAGTTTCACTTTCTCCTGAAAGATTTATTGACCTGATCTTTGGCCCATTGCAGCTGAAGAACCGAGGAAAGACCAACTACTGCTTCGACTACAACCCCACGGATGAAAACACAGTGGTGGGCCAAAGGGTCATCCTGTATTCGTGTCACGGAATGGGTCAGAACCAGGTAATGGACCTCAGTCTTTTCAGGGCCAACACCAATACAACTTTGTTGGATGTCTTGTGAAAAGTCACTTCCGTCTATTTTTAATGCAACAGGCATGAAACCTTCTTAATTTCAGTTACAGATGCATGCAATTAATGGGGGTTGCATAATGTATGTTTTCTAATGACCTAAGTAATCATTCTTATCAAGAGCTGCTGCACTCTAATTCCACAGTGGAGCACAAGGGATCTGAAGCTCTATTGGGGCGATAAAGGACTACTGTTTTTGAGATTTTGAGTGATTTTGTCCTGCCGTAGTTTTTTGAATACTCCCCGGACGGGGAGATCCGCTACAACACGAGGGTGCCTGCCGGATGCGTTTGGGGCGACAACGTCAGCACCTACCTGACCCTGCAGCTGTGCCGAAAACGAGGAGAACCTCTTCCCGCGGAGCAGAAGTTTGACCTCAGAGAGGTGAGGAGGCCCAACCAGATTCAACCAAGGAGGCGGATGTGTCCGTTCTGTTTCTTTTTCTTCAAAGAGACTGTAGCGAAATAAGAGCTGTGCTGATTACATTTTTCTAAGTCTTTTTTTCTAAAAAAAAAATCAAACTGCTCGTTTAATTAGGCTCTTGGCAATCTACATGTTATAATTTCCTTTAGAAAAGCACTGTGCAATCCGCCGAATTATCTCCTTTCAAATTCTACTATACTAAATCTTTTTTAAGTGTCATAAAGTTGGATTGAATGGAATCACGCCGTCCGCTCCGGGGCCAAAATCCAATTCACGGTGCGGTCAAAGTCATGTCAAGTACGTAGCTGAGCGGCTCCACGGCTGACTAGAGCAAAAGTAAGGTTGATGCTTAAACTGAAGCCGGAAAGATGACTGGCTGTCCACCACTCGCTGCTGCAGGTTGCTTATCACGGCCGAGCCCCAGCGCAGCTGATGCCCGTCGCTAATATCTGCGTACAATTAGGTGTTCTTAAACCACGGTAGCAGATTTATCATAGCGAGAGATCAGATGTGTTTACCTAGCAGCTGTTTTGTTACTCTAGACATGTCCCGTACAGCCCTAATAGCTGCTTTGTTGCAGTACTGCACCACTAACAATGCACCTTCTGTGTTTTAGGATGGCAGCCTGTACCATGCGCTGAGCCAGAAGTGCGTTGAGGCGGTAGACAAGACGGACAACGGCACACCGGCCCCGGCACTCCAACCCTGCTCGGACAGCCTCCTGCAGAAGTGGTTCTTTGAGGAGAGAATGTAACGGTATCAAACTGGAATATATCGGCAGGGCTGATAACTTGAGGAGCGGTACGGGTGGATTCTGATATAAGCTTCCTTCCACTCAAAATGCAACATTTGCACCTGTGTACTGGTCATAATGGCCCAGTGGGAAATTATACTGGAATGTGTATTCTGGAGAACTTTGAGGGGGAAAAAAGAAAATATATATGTGTGTGTGTGTGTGTGTGTGTATATATATATATATATATATATATATATTTGGGAATCATTTTTCTTGGATGCTGTTGCTGGGAGACAGAAGCCAGCTGGAATATGTATTGTTTTTGTAATCAAGGAGGATCGCTGAGACGCTGCACAAACAAGACCTTCTGATATATAAATATTTTTTTCTTGTTGACATTTACGCCCCAAAGCACCGGTGCAGTCTGTGAGATTGGTGTAGGCTTCATGCAAACACTGAAAAATGTGTACATCTGTCCGACTGCGTCAGAGCACATGGATTTTTAGAGACTCGCAGCCTTTTTAAGATGTTCGCGTCTTCTCCTGCAGAGGGGGCCAACGCTCCTCTCTGCAAGTTCTTATCTGTCACGTGTTCTCTATTTGATGAGAGAAAGTGGGACAAAACTTCAGGTATTTTGTAGGAACCATTTTAAGACATTTTGAGTGCTTTGTTCTCTTGCATACGAGTGGCTTAATAAAAGCCTTAGAAAACATGCAGGTACCTTCAACTTAATCCCCCAACTAACTGATAACACGAGAAACTCCATTCTGCTTTGGCTGACAAGACATTTTGCGACATGTCTTGGTTCTGTGCTCTTTTAATTGTTGCATCCCAAGACATACTAAATCATATTGTATTTTTGGAATTTCAACTATGTTTATTTAAAATGTATCATATGTAAAATTACTGTTATTTTAATGCTTGGACACTGGCATTTTGTATGGAGTCCTCAGCAAGAGGGAATGTAGTCACTTGCCATTGGCTTCCCATTATTCGTTGCCAATCAAATGTGCCGAAATGTGAAAGAAAAGAAAAGCCTTTATAGTTCTACTTGGAGATATCCCTCGTCGGAGATGTCTTTGTACTGAATGTATATTTCATCCCATAGCGAGTCTGAGAGAGAACTGAAGTCAGGAGTTGTGACAAAGTGTCGTGCGCACTTACAACATGTGTGCTGCCCTGCTGAGGACGCGGCGCGCCGGCCGTGGCCCCTGCTGAGTGTACGCGGGTTACACTTTGGATCTACTGATCCACTCGCGGCCTCCGCGACTAGAGCCCCTCTGTTGTCGAGGTCACTTCCCCATGCAGAGGGGCCGAGGGAAGCGCGGCGGACATGCATCTGTTACTTGTGCGCTGAAGGTATGATGTATGAATAGAAGGGATCAACAGTACAGTTTTTTTGCAGCACGGACAGATAACTGAGGAGACTGAATGAAGCCATTGAGTGACCTCTTCCTAACCATTAACCTTGACGGGCTCTTGGCCCATTGCTCCCAGAGGAGCTCTGCTGGTAGGCGATCGTTCTGAAGTACATTCTGGCTATTGATCCAGAATGTATACTCAGAGTAAGATGAACGAGATGTGGAAAAGACCATTTTGCCAAGACTGGAGTGGATTCAGAACATGTAGTGCAGGAAAGTGGCAACATCTGCGCACATGAGCTCACGCAGTAGAAGCCTTCAGGGACGGCGGTGGGCTTTACTTGGCGCTCGGAGGATATATTTAGAATTGCACCGCGTAGGATGGAGGCACAAAAGAAGTTCCAAGCTGCGTTGGATCGTGCACATCGTTCGTGGGGTGAAAGTTCTCAGGGATCCATTGAGGTTTTCTCTGGCGCTGTGAGTGGTACATGATTGCGCAGACAATGCTCGCTGAAGTGGAATGGACTAAATTACCAGAGGGAGGATCATCATCGTGTGAGCCATACAGGGGGTTGTATGAATGTTTCGCCCACAAAGCCTGATCTTGGTCACCACAAGCTCCAGGAAAAAAAGTCGGGGAGCAGGTTGCCACTCGTCCGTGCAGCTTCACTGCTGGGATTTAAAACTTCGCTGATTCGATGAATGTCAACCTAGAGATGCGATTCAGTAGGAACAAGTGAAATGGTTCCATTTAGTCCAGTGTTCATGCTTTCTAACCCGTGTCTTTTACCCTGTGACTAAAGTAAACGTAGCCTGTTATTAATTGTCCCGGTGGCCACCTGTTATGCCGGGCGTGTACCGCCCAGTAAAACACATTTTATATTGTATGTTAATCTGATAAGGTGCATGGGGCCGCCATAAATTTGCTCTTGGCCAGCCGAGGCTCATATCTCGCTTGCAGTGTCATAAGAGCGATTCTATCAACCAAAGCGCGTGTTGTAAACCGCTGTGATGTAGCAGGGATCGGATCAGGCACTTGAACCTGTAGATGTAGAACCTGCACGGATACCAATGCTGGAATTAAAGTGACTGATTTATCAATGCTGTCAGTAACTCCCGTGGCCTTGTACTGATATTAGGAATGTGAGTAATATATTTTGTGTTTGTCGGATCAACTCAACGGACCAAATCTGATGTACCTGCTAACTGTTGTCAATTGTAAACATGCCATGTGGGATCTGTGTGTCCTTGCTGATTATGTCTCCTGATTTTCTTTGTCTCTAAAAATATGCACCACCGTCGGCAGGCTTTCTACATGATAAAACCAATCCTGAACATGATCACTGAGCGCTGTGACTCATCAGCATCCCCAATGAGAAGAAACCGGCTATCGTCCACACCTAACCGTGATGGAGACCTGAATCGAGGCGCTGGGGGGGGGGCTGAGCTTTCCAACCACATCTGATTGGTTTGATCACCAGCTGCCGAGCGAGATGGTGAAAAGCCGAGCCAAGTCGCTCTCAATTACTCATTGATGATGCTCTGCTGTTCTGTTTTGTGTGTGTGTGTGCGCCATGTCTTTGTGACAACTGCACGGTGAACGGCCTGTATTGGAGATGAAATCTGGCAAGCTTCTTTTTTTTTTCTCGAGAGAGAGAAGAGAACACATCCCACGAAACATTCGTGTGCTGCATGCGGCGGGCCGGTGGACGCGCTCTGATGAAAACTCGCCAGAAATCCTCACGCTGTGACAAACGCTTCCCAGGCGGCGCTCTGCTGCTCCCCGGGAAAAACAGAAGCGCTGCAGAGGGCTGCGACGCTGCCGTCTCACCCTAATCCGCTGGCTCCTCTCCTGTGAGCAAAAAGCAATACTGTAAAATAACCTGGAATAAAGCGACTCCTATTTGATCCCGTGTGGTGGGCATGACCCCCCCCTCCATATGTCTTTGAAGATGCTCAGACTTCGGTTGTCCTAAGAGGACGCAACACACTCGGCGTCCAGAGGCCGTTTCCCCCCCACCAGCGCGTCTGTTTCGGTTATATAATCCCCAATACTCCAAGAGCAGTGACTGTTGGGCTGCACACATCACATGACACACTTCTCTCTTTCAGGAGAGACTCCAGACGGTGCAGTAAACATGTGAGGCCTAGATACGGAGATGGCGTTCCTCCGCTTAGAAGGAGTGAGCTAGTGGATGAAACGGCGAGGCTGGCACGCGGTAAATTCTGATCAAATAGCTATTCTGCGTCACGTGGTGTCGTACCCGAGCCTCGTGGCGGCGTTGCGTGCACGGCCGTGTGCCATTCTGGCTTCGCTTTCAAGGAGGCGAGTGAGAAACTGCAAAACGAATACGTCGGCGTTTTAGCAGTGCGGGCGTTCGTGTTCGCTGGTGGGAGAAGAAAGACGTCGTCTGAGATTCGTAGAGCGAGACGTGAAGTACCGGCTGTGATGGTCCCATGAAAACATGCAGTGACGTGAGAGACGAAGGGAAGAATATGACATTAGCCCAGCGAGCATCTAAAAATGACGCATCTGGGTTCATAGACATTCCTCGACTTGAAGCCGTCTTCGGTGCAGTGGAACCGCTGAGCAGCATCCAAGGAACATTTCTTGTTACTAATTTGCCGTTTTTGAATTGTTGAGATGGATGAAAATGTTTGTGTGTGATTATGAAGGTGACTCTGCTCTCCTGCTGTAGTTCAATTTAGATTTGAGTCAGATTAGTTTAGAAAATTGCTCATAATGAGTGGACACTTTTTTTTTGTGGTTATTTAGAGGCTAGTTTGTGTTGCGATTTACAATTATTGATCAAATAAAAAAACACATGCAAGAACAACATATTCCCCATCTTCTTTATGTTTTCATGACTAAATCCAGCCTAATAAAGGCAGTTGAACGTGACACATTGTACTCTAGATGCATTTTTCTCTCCATAGTCGCAGAATGCGGATTGTGCGACCCTTATGGTGACACTGCCGATGTGCGTAACAACGACGCGCGTTTCCGTGATTGGATTGAGGAGGACAGACACCGCTCACATCACACTTGTCCCACAGCGAATGGACACGGCGGCGCCAGGACATCTCGAGTATGTGTTCTTTCTAATGCGATGACATGGATTGGAATATAAATAACTCGTTGCCTCTTTTTGTTGCAATTTCCTCCTCACATTCCGATGGATGTTCCCTCTGCTGCAATTCCTCCGTACCGTGATCGAAACAGAGCGAATCCTGTTTGGCAGATACGATGTACTCTGCTTAAGGGAACACCAGAGTCCCACTAGTTGACACTTTGGCAGACTGTGATGTTTCACGGCCTCCTCCTCCATTGACAGAATACCTTTAATGTGTTCTTACGAGATAACGCGCTTCCACAGACGATTAAGCCTCCCACCCTCTTCCGTTCATTCCCCTTCATCAGATTACTTGATTGCTTGCTAAATGCACTGCGTCCAGGGAAATCTACTGTACTTTTTTTCCCCCCCCTTAGACAAAATGAGGTGTGGTTGATTTTATTTGGGTTTTTTTTCCCGCGCAGATTAACAATTACGAAACATATTTTATAATCCGGTTCAGGTGGAGGCCTAGCGTTGTTTTTGGGAGCAGGTTGCACCTCGCAGAATGGATCGATGTCACTGGCATTCTGCAGATTACGTGGACTGAATTACACAGAAGATCCCAAGTCTCTACCATCACATACAGCAAACGTGTTTAAAAATAGCTTAATTTGCTAAATAGTCTTGCTCTCTTGCCTTTGTACAGATCCATCTTTAAAAGGTTACCGAGAGCAACATCAACCAATGAACAGTCTCATTTTAAATCTATATGACCTACTTAAGTAATTAAGACCCATCGGTGAGAAGATCTAGTATTCCT